TAGTGTGTTCGAGGAAATCTAGGGAGTCAGTTCCGATTTGGCATTTATGAATTTTTGCAACAATGCCATACTTTCGCAGTCGTTCGAAAACCGGGTCCATATGCTGGAGATGAAATTCTTTGTTCGGACTTGCGATTAAGTATTCATCAAAATACGCATGTACGAAGTTGCGACCTCAATAAACGTCATCGATAAATCTCTAGAAAATTTGTGCAGCACTTCTTATTATAGTATTTCCGTCCACTAGCCTCCGTTTGCGCCTGTCGATTGGTGGATTATGGTGCTGTGGCAGGTCTGCAAATGAGTGGCATAAAAACATCTGAATGAATTTGCATAAACCCACGTTGAGGTTAACATATCGCTTACCATATGTGGCGATCGGTTTCCAATTTACCGCCTGTAAGTTTAAAACCGATTCGTGAAGCCGGTCGTTAGAATTTGCTGGAAGAACGCTAACTCCTGCGCCACTGTCGACGAGGTAGCGAACTTTCACATTCATATCAGTGATGTATAACAGATGGCTATATTCGCCGGCTACAGTCGTCATCAATGCATGCCGGCTGGAATGCTTCCCGAAACGTTTTTCATGTCAGTCTGTTTAGAACTTGAAAAATTTCAGGTTTTTCTGCAACTTCCAGAGGATTTACCATAACGATTATAGTAGCAGCGCCAATCAGGTGTATCTGTTCCTCGAGATTTGGAGACAGATCGATTTCATGAAGAACTCCTTCAAATAATTTTAGGAGAGCCTTTGGTCATGACGAATTTTCAGGTAACGTGCCAGAGTCTGGTGATCTCCAGAATCCGATAAACAGATGCAGCCAGCTCATCTACAGCGTTATTCCAAAATGAAATAAGCACTGCCTGCATCTGTCGGGGAAGCTTAAACAAGAACAGTTGTCTAAAAAGGCCTTCGTCAAAAACCCAATGACTAATGACCCCTCACATCCGTGGTGTCATGTCTGTTGCTGAGCCATGTTGTAGATCAATGTTGTTGAAAAGTTGGTCTAACCTCTGTCGGTCGGTCATATGTTCATGTTCAAGAATAGCCGTTTGAGTTTCATAAGGTTCTGAAACATCACTAGTAAACATATTAGGTGTGACGTACCAGTCGAATTCGCGCAGTAGTTCCTTCGCCACCGCGAAGAACTGTACACGTTGGTCTGTCACGCAGTATCCGTGGAATTCGTCTTCCATATAGCAGAACCCGCTCCCATGTTGTCACGCCAAAATCGTATCCGTTGAAATGAAGGTGGCAAAACAGTTTTGATCATAAATAATTTAGGAATCCGTTCTGTCATAATGAGTATTAAGTATAGTAATGAACGATGAAAAGGTATCCGAAAATACTAGAAAAATATTACAATATGTAAAAATTAGATTTTTAAAAAATGATATACAAAGTCCCACCAAGGAACAGACTCACAGTTCACGAATTGGTGTACCAGATCACGTCAGGCTCACCACTAAAGATATCACAAGTAATCAGAGTTTGGCAATGCTTTAACCAGCATCACCTTTTATAATCGGATTATACCAAGCCAGTCAAATCAGAAGTCAGAAGTGAAGAGGTTCGAAGATATATCTGATAGAACCTCGATAGACCGATAAGTAAGTAATCTAAGCTGGCTAGCGGTTGTAGGATGTGTCGCACGGCATACCCACTCGTGATCTGGTGAGGATGCGTGAACGTGTGCCTTCAGATAGGCGAGTTCAATAAAACTAGTGTGGTCAGCATGAAATGTCGAAGACTTACAGAGATTTCGATTTTGATGATTTATATACCGCTACACTTTTCCTTATTAATTTTATTGTGGAACAGCGACTGACAATAAACAAATTGCGTTCAGTGACAGTGAAAAACTTTGGAGCAGTCTGTGATTCATGATCGCCATGTCGATTTCAGATTAGGCTGTTTTCATATCAATTAACAATCTATAATCCGCTGTCTTGAGTAGAACAATCCAGTTTATACGATTCCCAAAATCACAAAGGTTTTTACATTATATTGTGTTACTAACAAGTATCAAAGTAGTTTGTATTCGTCAGAGCAATTTTCTAACCTCCAAGCTTAAATATCACGTAAATCAAATGGTATAAAAAGGCATAACTGACTTGATAAAGACAGCGATGACTGTTGTGACTTTGAATAACTTATCATGTCACTGATATGAACAAATGGATATGAATAAGAAATTCATTTGACTATGACATTTTTATGCTATTTCTGACGATGCATTCTGTAAGGAGACATCGACAGTTTCTCTGTATAGCTTCTAATAACCAATAAGATGATATAAATCAGTTGAATAATCGATTATCTCTACGAAATTCCAAAGAAATATGGATAGTGATTGATCAAATCTTTCTCCATCTTAATTGAACTAATCTTGAATTCGTTAAAAGTTCTAACATGTTTTCCCAATACTTCTATAACATCATGGCGAAATATAGTTCTGTAAACAACCACATAATTTAACAAATAATCTATTTTTCAAAGTGAAGATTGTAATGTAGTACTTGGGGTTCATGAGTGGAAGACTTTTGAGGACTAGTCAATAGATAATTAGCCCGAGCAGTATCGGGTAAGATTACAGTTTATTAGTCTGTATCTCACTATCTACTTGCGCGATTTATCACCATCATTAGATGATTAGTTTATTCCGATGTTTTCAGCTATTATCATCCCATTTATATATGTGACCATAAGCATTTGTGCATGATAGCTATACTTGTATCTTTCGTGTCTATAAATTTTGAGTCATATTTTAACCAAATTGAGTAACCATGTCCCCTTACTATTTCTCTTCTTGACTTTATTCACTAACAAAATATGAGAAGTATGTGATCAAAATCTTACTCGTACCTGACATAATCTAAATCTCTACAAAATGGATTGAGTTGACTTTTTCTTTTACCTACTCAAACATATTTCTTTTATTCACTTTTTATTACTGACAAATATATTAGTAGCTCAGTTGTACTCTGGAATAGCCATTTGTGATTTATACTGTAAGATAGATTTAGCACGTTTGTCTAACATAATTTTAAACAATCACAAGAACACTTTCATTGTTAATAATTGCTCATCAGAAACTTGTCAAATGTCAGTGTAAACTATAATTTTTAAGATGAATAAGCAAATGCGGACACTCATAAGTTGATTAGCAACATCTTCGACTGTATTGAATCTACATAAGAACAGGAATCAGGAAGTACTTCCATCGTTCTATGCTTTATTTAAAGGAACAAACACATAAACTTTGGTCACACAGGTATAAAGAAATTCAAGCCATCAAGATCAAATGCTAAGTGTTAGTAAATCAACAGAGCACAGAAGCAGTTGTGTCTAGATGATATTCAAAAAGAGTCAAATACCATTACAGAACTCTCACGACATGAGAAATTGAAAAAACTCATCATCAGTTTGTTTTCCTTAAAAATGGCCATCTCGTTAACTTCGTTAAAAAAAGTCTCTGAGTGATTGAAGTAGGATCTAAAACTAACCTCAGAATTCGAGAAACGGATAATACCGCTATATATGAAAAACACTAAGAAATCATAAAACCCTTTGAAATTATAGTCCCTCATAAATCAACACAACATTATCTCGTTTTATACAGATCAAAAGATGTAGATGTAGAGATTGATAAATTCGATGTTATCTGCAACATAAAGTGAATCAACTGAGAGAAGCACTAAATTAGATAATGTTCGTATCCACCTTCACTTACTTATAGACAAATAAAAACTAGCAGTGAAATAACATGAAATAGTTCCGCTGATATCATATTTTAGTGTTCTGAAAAATAAAACTAAGAACTGGGGGCGATCTTCACTGAAAAGCATCAATACTTACTTAAGATATAGATGACTAGTTTGGAAAATGGAATGAAGCATGTGAAAATTGCATTCTACTATGTTAATCACTACTACAGTAAATAATATGAGATAAAATAAGATCAAATCTGATGTAGTTCTGATAGGGTATTCAAATTATGTTCATGAAGGTTAAATACGAAGTATATTGTTCATTTCAATGGTGGTTAGAGGTAGTCGACAGGAAACCCTGGACCCGAGTTTCGTGCTACTTGGCACTCGTCAGCAAGGTGTACCTCTAATCTTGAGGTAACTGGTGCTCTCTGACGGATTCGATCCCGTGTCACCCAGCTTCACAGTCAGGGAGCATCATTGTCGAGTCACCTAGACTGGTGGCCACATTGCAACTTGGTCGATAGCATTCGATCTGCACTAAGAAAGACTTGACACACATGACATTGATCACCACCCAATGATCAATCAACTGAGATTGTTCATTTCATTTATCTAATCAAATTTAAAAGAATATCAATGAATAAAGAGAGATACAAACTCCGCCTGGAGCTCCCTCTGAGGCTATTGTCAATCCCAAACCCGGATAAAGAAGGAGGGTTGGACATGGGGTTAGTGACCCCATCCCGTAGAAAACTAACTTGCTAAGAAAACGCTCACCAGAAAGAAAAATATTTTAAACTATTCAAACTCTGCCCTGGAAGTTAGAAGGTCTTCATTTAGAAGAGTTATGAAGCCGAGTTCCTTCGGAAGTCACGAGGCTAATGCTACTTCTGACAACCATAGTAACGATTAATTCAGGTACATGGAATACTCGTACAATGTGAAAAACCAGGAGAGTCTTCTAAATTACTACAGAAAGAGGAATACAAATACTTTTATCAATATAAAAAAGTGGATATTTTAGTCTTCAAATAATAAATTAATAATCATTTCATAATGTCAAAATTCATTAACACATCTCATTTATTGTCTATATATAAAATATGAATTGCGCCATATGGTCAAATGATAGCCAATCACAATTCAACAAGATTTTGATTGGTCAATTCATTTTAATGTTTATTATTTCTTAAATAATTAGCCTAAGGGGTGTTGCTTCAATATGATTGGATAAAAAGAAAATGAAAGTGAATTCCTACTTTAAGAAAGATAAATTATTATTTATCATTTTGATAACCATTCAAGTTATTTTAGGATCATATTTTATTTCTCTTCAATTCATGGAACTTTCTTATTTCATTCAATATTTGATCACTTTAATAGTTTACATTAAATTGATCTATTCAACAACAGAGTTGAATCAACACCACCACCACCAACAACAACAACAACTAGATCGTTTAGCAACATTTTCAATAAAATTTCTAGAATTTCATAATCATGCACATCGACGTATTGATGGTAGTTGTTGTGGTCGTCCTAAACAATCATCATCTTCATTAATAACTACTATAAAAGTAGAAACAGAAATATGTAAAGCAGAATGTGCATTAGAATTTCGTATTTGTATTGAACCTTATACAGTAATTAATATATTATCGAATAATACAAAAATTTATAATGGTCCTTGTATGTACGGTGAAGTATATACTGGTCATTGGGGTAATACAGATATTACATATGGATTATTAGAAGCCAGTGTACACTCTATTGGAATTATACATCCATGGCCGGTAAGTTAATGACTGGTTTATTGTAATATTAAGTTTGTTTTATGAATATTTTACAATATCTGAAAGGGGTTTTAATGATAGTAAATTAATTCATTAGAAAGATTGTTGAAAAAATGTATGCGATAATTACTTCGAAGTGTTCGAAATCATGTTTATACATAAAGGATGAAATTTAAGATATATTCAAGTTACTCGAAAATTAACGGAATACACCCATTAGGACATTAAATAAGAAAGATTAGTTCAGCAAAGCGTTCTCCCTTTTTCTGCGGATTCATTTTCAAAGCTGTACAATTGAAAAATATATATACAGGATGATAGTAATACTGATAATAAACTTGTTATACATGATGACAGTGAAACAATTAGACTGCATCTTCTTTGCATTGCCGAATCAATAGCCATACATCTGGAAAAACCAGAATTGTATGTGCAAAAGAGACTGGTGCAACCTCTTCTTCTACCATGGTCTTAATGTATTAAAATTTTTCTCTCTTTCTTCATACTCCCCTTCCTTTACAGCCATCTGCTCCACACTCCATCTTCCTCTTAAATTTTTTACCCCTAACTGGTTCATTTTGTTTCCACGATCATCCTTATTACATTTTATCTCAATTTCAACATTTATCTTATCATGTTGAGCTATCCTTTCCCAATGATAATTTCCCTATCTATCCTTTGATGAATACTTAAGCCATTAACAATCAAACGATTATTAAACTTTCCTTGTTTTAAAATTTCTTTAATACCTTTGTTTATTTAACCTCACTGTCACCATGTCTAACGGAAGTTTATTATCGGTATTATTATTATCACGTTGAAATATGTATATATATATATATATATTATATATATATATATTTGCGATTGTACAGCATTGAAAATAAATTCGCCGAAAAGGGGAGAACCCTTCGCTGAACTAATCTTTCTTACTTGAAAATCACAATAAATTTCATTTCTGAGTTGCTTCAAATTACCGTTATAGTTAATTTATAATCTAACGAGTCGATCATTCTATACCCTGAATAATACACATCATATTTGAAACATGTTTCAACTTTGTCGGTTAGAATTTTTAAAAAAAGCAAAAACAACCATTCACATTTAGAAAAATGTTATTCAACCGAAACTCCTTCTGGTTAAATTTCCTTAAACAAAAAAGACTCCATTAAGTGATTGATTTAACTAATCACACTTGATGATACACAGTCACTATCTCCTTTTTACCTCTAGGCTAATGTTATAAATGAATAGGAAACTTATAGGGTTCAATGCGTGAAAGTAGATGAACGCAATAAATGAGTATTAAATTATACATTGAAAATAAATCAAAACCGTATATGAATAAATTGACTTTTAAATGTTTCAATTACATTGTTCGGTAGTCCAATTTTAATAAACCATACTGAGTAGCCCTATTTATATAAATGTGTATATATAATAAGCATTATGATAGGATTGAACTGTTGTAACTAATTCACTAAGCCATATGATCTATTCTTTCTTAACATTGCCCTACTAAGTAGTATTGTATATGAGTAGCTCATCTATTACTTACTTACCCCTGTTACTCCTCGTGGAGAAGCATAGGCTGCCTACCAGTACTCTCCATCTAACCCTGTCCTGGGAAATCCTCTCCAAATCTTTCTAATTTTTATTCATCTTTTTCATATCTGCTTCTATTTCCCACATGATGTGTTATTTGTCCTTCCTCTTTCCTCTTCTCTTCAGGATTCCAAGCTAGTGCTTGCCTCGTAATGCAGTTTGATTAGTTGCGTAATGTATGTTCTATTCATTTCCATTTTCTTCTACTATTGCTCAACATGAGTTGTTATTTACCTTATTTGTATTTTGATTCTTAATGTTTTGAAAGTAAGATTTTGATCAATTGACAACATTCGTTATTTGCAAGTATTTCTAAGAAGTATTTTATGCATGTTTGATAAAACTATTTTGTACAGAGTAGTATACTTATGATATCTATCAAGTGATAGGTATAAATGGAATCAAGTAGAAATTTATGTTCTGAATATTTGAATCACACTTTTACATCTGATTTAGCTCATCAATGATTGAAACTCTCGGCTTCTACTAAAAAGAAGAGGGGAAATCTGTTGCTTGGGTTATTAACATTAATTAATTAAGATTATGGGGAGCACTTGTCTGTCACTGTCAGTCTTTGACCTACACGACTGACTTGAATAAGAGTTAGTTATAAGTTAAAGACACTATCAAACTAGATTAGGTAATGATAACTGCAGTTGACGAGGGAAATGTCTTCACTGGTCTATGTACACTATTCGGTGGAAACTTTTTGTTTGGCGTCTATACGATTTAATGCTAATCTTTAATTGTAGACTGTTAGTCATTTCGCTCAAAATTTATTTTAATGAAGCAAATGAATACATTCACTATGTTTCTTCAAAGTTCAAGTCTTATTATTATTATCTTTACTATCGTTCTTTGATAACACATAATGTGATAGTTGCAGACAGTTCTTAGGAAAATTACTACAACCCAAGATTTTTGCCAGTTAACACTTGTCAGTAAGGCATAACTAGAGTTTTAAAAACAAACCGATACTCCCTCTGAATTTCCAATTCACATTGCCTAATCTCACTGTGTTAAGGTGATAAAACAGAGTTATCCAGGCCATGACTATATTTACCGTAGTCCATTCAATGTTGATCCATATCGATCCATATCGATGTTCAATGCATTCAAATTGTTTATCATAGTTACTCAGTCAACCCAACATGTATCCTCACAATATATAATTATATAATTTGTAATTAACTGCATGATAATCTGTTTAGGATGCACACATTCCAATAGAGACTGATAAATTACATTCTGGATTATCAATAACAGGACAATTTAAATAATAATATTTTCATTATCCGTTCAACAAGTAACTGAGTGTTTACATTCGTTAGCTTAATAAACAATCAGTTGGCGTTTCAAACAACAGTTAGTAGATTCAACTGTGAATCTGAACAACAACATTGTGACATGAAAACATCCAGTAGAATAATAGTGAATGAGATAAAGTATTCTTCTTAACTTCTACTAGTATACAAACTCCAAATATAGTTACTACTGACTCTAGTAGTATCTTGAATAGAACTACACAATATAACGGTATTGTTCTTACACTAAAATTTGACAAGTTTTTTGTCCGATAATAGATCTACAATACAATTCTTATCACTAACTAACATACACTTCACTCATAACTCCTTAAATCGAATACAATTTTAAAATTAAGTGGAATATTAAAAAGAGTTTTGGAAAATTAGGAATGAAATTATCATTCAATTCACTTGGTATTATATACTTGAATCCTTCCATTGGTTCGAGTCCTAGAGTGAACATTAAGCCGATGAGTCCAAAATAGGACGAAACTCGCGTTGTGAATTCCACTGCTAGCCACTATCCATCTTTGCTCAATATTATTATTATTATGTATAAAACTGTTAAATATATGTGATTGTAAGTATAAGGTCAATTTCCATTGAGATCATGTTCTCATTATTGACTAGCTTCAAAAGGAAATTTCAGCAGTTCTAATGAGAAGCCGTGACCAGTGGAATTCAATCGAGTCGGGTATCAGGCAGTTACCTAACAATGATTATGGAATATAGTCACACAATATTGTGGATTGATTAAACTTAAACATTAGCACCACTGAATGCTGACTCAATCGTCTGGTGGTTAAGCATTTTTATAAAATTGAAGTTCCTGAGTTCTACTGTTTTGTGTAGAGTTGTGAATGAGCACTGTTAAGGAGTCTCATGAAATGGACTTCCTTTTTGTTATTTATGTTATGTATGAGAATTTCTAAGGAAATATAGTTGAAACTGACTACGGAATATGAGAATAGGGTCAAGATTAAAGAATTCGTTTGAATGAATGCAGTGGATTTTAGTTAATTGTTAGCCAATCATTATAAACAGTTGTGTAAACACATTGTTTACGGAAGGTAAATTGGCAGTAATAATATTGCAAAGTATAAATAGATTTTATATCTTTGATGAATCTTTTCGTATCTTCTACAGATTACTTTATATGTAAGTTGAGAAAAATAAGAAAACATCAGTATGTAAATTAATTCATAAAGGGACATAGATCATCAGTCTTCCCAAACATCAACAACATTCAAATACATTTTCAATAGTCTTTACATAGTTCTTAGTAAGGGTTATGTATTTAAGGTTAGAAGTAGAATTCTAGTGTTAGGGTTTTTTTTCGTATCACGAACTAACACCGACTATTAAATTTAGTTGGTGTTGTTTACTTGTATCTCCCCATTGTTATTTTGGGCTACAATTGATTAGTATATTGTTGGCATATGTGTAACGGTACTGAGTTCAAGTTTCAGAGTAAACATCAATTCTGAGATGCAGGTATATCCAGATGACAAGTCTAAAATACGATTCCACTGTTAGCCAATATCCATCTTTACTTATGACACCAACTATTATTATGTTGATAATGCTTTGTAGCTATGCGAATAAATGAATTTTACAAGAAAATGAAATCGAAGAAATGCTATTCTAAAAATGATGAATTCATTTATAAAGGAATACTCCCTTAACTGGATGGTTTGGTCGTGGAGCTTTCGTCGTTCTTCTGAACGACATCATCAGCATAAACCTCAGGTAGAAGTGGAGTGTTCATATCTCTCCACATGTGGTTCAACATCGAGGTGTACAGAACAAGCTGTGAACCAGATGTGGAGAGATTCGAACACTTCACTTCTACCTGAAGTTTATGCTGATGATGTCGTTCAGAAGAACGATGAAAGCATCACGACCAAACTATCCAGCTCAGAGAACAAAACTCCATCAAACTCATCCATCTGAGCTACAAATCTTCTCCACCATCTTAAGAATAGTCCTTTCAGGTTAGATTTTATTTGATGATTAAGAGTTAGGTCTCAACTTGATTATGATACACTATCCATAGAAATAGTAATTCTTATTTGATACGTCTAACAC